ATATACATGTAAATACATGGGTCAAAGACAAAAAAGGGTTTAAGCATAAAAACAATGTGTAATACTGCTTTAAATTACTATTGTTTGTTTTTCCCCCAAAAAATGAAAAAGTTTTCTGTTTAATTTAATTGCAATTTTGTTTTTGTTTCAATTTTGTACATTTTTCCCTGATTTACAGAAGAAACCCACTAAAATGTCATTCAGTGTAACATTCTTGTCAGGCATATTTACAACAAAAATCCATTTATGACATATTAAAAGACTAATTACTTTCACCCCAAATACTAATTAGTTGTAATTTTACATTTTTAAAATTTGCCACTATCCTAGGTTTTGCCCATTTGTCAGTAAGAATTTTTACTCATTTAAAATAATAAAATGTAATATGCTCCCTTATTCCTTTATATATTTTAATATGTACACGTCAGAATAAGCATGTTGTTTGAATTTTTACATAAATATTGTGTTACACTGAATGACAATGTAACATTATTTCAACCACATTTTAACATTTTATTCTCCAAAAACTTGAAACCTTAAAAGTAGACACTTTACTTACATTTAATGTGCTTTCTATTGACATATAATCACTTTTGTAAATTTCTTTTGATGCGGACATCTTAACGTCTTTGACCCTTATTTATTGCTTGGCCTTGTCTACACCAACGAAATTGCTTATAAATGCTGCAAAACATTTAACTCTATATCAAGCGCCATGCCAAGTAAAACAATATAGCATGGATACCTGTAAAATGTTTTCTTAGCAGGACATATTTTCACCAATATTGCATGCGCTGACACAATAAGCTATACTATTTTGTCTAAATAAATTGGAAAATAAAACCCTAAAAAAATAAAGCCATTTGTATTAATTACCTGCTACAAATTAATTTAGCATCACAATAACAGTAAGAAATATTCAATCTGAGACTTGCTCAAGATTACATTTAATATAAGTTTTTAAACTATAAGTGCTTTTAATGATTAACTTAATTAAGTAAATTAAAGACTGCAAAGGTATTCTAAAATTAAAATGATGAGAAATAAGTATGAAAATCAAATACAGACAGTTCAACCAATACCGATGATCATAATCAGTATAATGTGCATCATTAGTTGTTGTTTTTTTATCCTCTCTCACCCAGACTCTTCACCCCAAAACCTGCTTCAGTCTGCAGTTACAGAAAGAAAAGCCAGGATTCCCACAGTCCTGCATAAGGCTCTTAAAATCGCCAGTCTTGTCTCAGATCAATAATAACCTGAGATGCTAAAATAACATGCACACATTGGGCCTCATTCATGAAACATTCGTAAATATAGGAGTAAATTCTGAGTAATTTGCGTGTAACACGGACCTTCCCGAAAACTCTCCTCCGGATTCACAAACGCTTCGTAAACTTCCGATTTAATAGTTAAACATGCGTATGTTAATGAATTCCAATGATTCATAAATAGGGCGCTCGTGCACACTCATTCACAATTAACTTACCATAATCCTCGCCTGTAATTACAGCTACGCAAATTGCGTGTCCAGGAACGCAGTGGAATATTCTGGTCTACTTTCTCAGGTTTAGCTCCAGTATATTGCATAAATGCAAAAAATACTAATAGGCCATATGCCTAACAATAAATTTGCAATAATGTGTG